GGATGAATTGGTAACGAGGAATCGAATCACAGCCATGGCACACAGCGTCATCATGCTGCAGACACCAAAAAGGAAACCCATCAGGGCATAGTACACGCAGGACGCGTCTCCTCCCAGCCAAGCGTGGTTCCACGCAGATGCAATGGCCAGCGGGTACATGCTGATTGCCATCCCAATATCTGCTACTGCCAAGTTGACTGTAAGCAGCTCCGGTGACTTCAGGAGGGAAGAGCGTTTCACTGCTGTAGCAAGGACAGCAGAATTTCCAAGGATTGTCAGGATGGCTGAAAGAGAGGAATCGGCACAGACAATAATACGACAGACTTAGCACGCCTATGAGATGCAACTACACAAAGGATGTGATAAATGCCTGGGGCTGAAGGGTAGAAGAAGATAGATGTCAGTCAGGCAGTGGTTCTGCTAAGGACTTGTTAGAGCAAAGAGGAGAAATTTTGTCATATGAATAGCAGGCTGTACCTTGCCCTTTCACCAGACATCCACATCACTCCTCTTCCTGTTCCATGCACTACATTCTACTTATTCACCCCTGGATCCAATCTCATGTAAGTAGCCCACACCTGTTCTCTTAGAGTACCTTGCACAACATAACATCAAGTAGAATGGACCCATCCACCTCCATTGTTCTCTGGTAATATCCCTGCTTACTTCCTATGAGAAGAAATTGTTTTGCCAGAGGCAAACTGGAGAGCAGAGCCTGCTTTGCAAAAGGACCTGTTGGACATACATTATTCAGCGATGCCACAGGGCTTTAAAGTGTTCGTGACAACAGTGTCAAAAGAACATGCAGCTAAACAACTCATTTTCTCTTCTCTTACAAGTGAACACTGCACTGGAGCAATGTTTTGATCAAAGGCTTTCCTTAGAAGGTGTCCTCTGAAGTCAGAAGTGAAAGAAGGATACAGGAAAAGTGAGGGTGATGAGACACTGGCACAGGTTGCCCAGTGAGGCTGTGGATGCCCCATCCCTGGAAGCCCTCAAGGCCAGGCTGGATGGGACTGTGAGCAACCTGGTCTAGAGGGAGGTGTCCCTGCCTATAGCAGGGGGTTGGAACTGGATGATCTTAAAGGTCTCTTCCAACCCAAACCATTCTATGATCCTGTGATGAAAAGATTCTGTCGTGTTCTCTCATGGCCGTGGAAACAGGAAGGCTGCATTTGCTCACATACAACCCATTCATCAAGTGCTCACAGGCAAACAAATCAGGGGGCATGCAGCAAAACTGAACTACATGCACTGGCATAAATGCACACATGGGCACAGACTTCAAGGGAAAGATTTCAACGGGATGTGTGTTGGTGAAGCTCTGGACAATACAGTGCTATGTCAGGCTCTGGTAGCTCACTGCTCAGTACGTGGGATGTTCCCAAGCTGCACAGAGGACTCTGATACAGAGATACAAGAGATACAGAGATACAAGCGATGCCTGAGAGCCAGGGTGCCTCAAAACCCTATAGGAGCACTGTGAGATGGTAGCAGAGGGGCACAAAAGCAATATCACAACAGCAGCAGCAGGAGCCAAAGGACTTCCCTTCTTGCTACCCCATCCCATTATTTGAGCTCTGCACTTGCTTCTCTGTGAGAAAGCAGCTGACATTTCGGCTTGGGTTCTGTTTTACTTTTTCACTGTTGTGCAGATACTGATTTTTCTCAGGATGAATTCTACTCTCTGCTGTCAGCACGACTGAGGGGACAGCACAGTGCAGAGCAGTGCATGGAGAGGTGTGAGATACGAAATCCTAATGTCGGTGCTGCTGCCAAAATCCTCCCTTTTGACACATAAAAATATATGCTGGTCTTTCAGCAACTGCGTGCCTAACCCAGTCCAGCTCCTCCGCAAATAAACAGCTGTAACAAACAAACCACCTGCTCTGAGCAACGCAGCTGCTCTTCACCCATAGGGAAACCCTCCCAGGGTCACACCATGCTGCCCTCCCTGCTCAGACCTGCAGGACAGGCTGTCCCCCCCCACCTCAGTGTGCAGGGCTGGGATCCCATATAAGAGGCAGACAGCTTACTTTCAATACTTGTGATGCCACAGAGGCAAACCTGTGCTGGCAAGTCATGAAAGCAAAGGATGGGGCAGCCCCGTTCTGCTCAGGCTTCAAGCAAACAGGCTGCGCAAGCAGAACTCACCTACGATCAGAAGAAAGACCCCAGCTCCATAGTCCACTACCGGGTGCAGTTTGGAAACGTACTGCTCCTCCATCATCCCGTGTGGAAGCAGGTGAAGGTTTTAAATCGAAAGTGAAGTGGCTGTGGTGGCAAAGGGACTCTTCCTCGTGGTTCGCCTGCTGCAGATGTGAGGCAGGCAGCTGGGTGCTGCCGGGGCCAGGGGACCCTCTGCTTTCTCCTCTCTCCTCCTCTTGTGTGGCAGAGGAGAAGGCTGGGGTGAGAGGAAGGCTCACCCCCTGTGGACACAGCGAAAGCTCAGTGCAGCCACTGGCACTGCACGCCCGCCCGCCTGGCAGACATCTCCCCTCCCACCCCTCCTCTCCCACCGCTTGGCTTGTCAAGCAGCTTCACAACGCACATCCCCTCCAAGTGCAATTGCTGACCAAAAACAATTGTCATTCATCCATCAGCAGCCGTGGGTAATAAATCCAAGCTGAAGGATAGCGCAGGGAAAGGCGGAAAGGCAGATGAGGGGTTTTGCTTTCCAGTCTTATGGATGTGTAGGGGAAACATGAGGCTGGGATGGGGGGCCTCTGGAATTATGAGAGGAAAGCTGTTTGCTGCAGGGTTCTGAAGGCTCGTAGCTGCACCACTAAAGACAGGATGTGCAGAGTGCTTACAGGGCTGGTCTGGTATTAAATGTGGAGGTTGGCAGCCCTGCTTGTGGCGAGGGGGGGTTTGGAGATTTGTGATCCTTGAGGTCCCTTCCAACCCAGGCCATTCTGTGGTACTGTGGTGGGCAAACCTGCAGGATGCTCTGTGCAGTGGGCACAGCTGCAGAGCAGCAGAACTGAGTGCTGCATCATTCCTCTTCTGCTGTTAGTGGGGAAGCAGCCAGAGCAAAACTTTCCATCCAAATTTACATTCTTCTTATAATACCTGAGCCTAAAGTTATTGTAATGCTCTCACCATCATTATAAACGCTGCTGAGTTTTGCTCCAGGCTCCAAATAAGGCCTGTCTATCAGTGTACAATGCAGCCTGGATTTTGGTGTGCTCAGTATACAGACCTGTACATGCAATGTCATTAACATGACTTTCAGTGGCAGCACACAGCCACTGCAGTAAAGAACTGATCTATTCTCAATTATTTAATTCCAGTTCATGGATGTGCTAAGCTGCATTAGCATCATGCTCTGCTTGGCCTATTTCACTCTGTCCAGACACATTGTAAGATCCTCAAGCAACCTGAAACTTCCAAAATCTTTGAGAACCTCAGGAACTCCAAAACTCCCAAGTTTCACCAGAAAACAAAACTGGCCATGCACGGAAATGCTGTTGCCCAGGTTTGCTGCATGTGTCTGTCCTTGTCTCCTCCCGAAGCTGTCTGGGATTCACACACAAGGGATCCCTGCCCTGAAAACTTTGGGGACTTGAATTGAGCAAGCAGGTGCACCCAACACATCCAAACACTGGGACTTTGTAGCTTTCACAGCCCTCTGAGTCCTCAATGCAGTCGAGAGCCACTGCCCTCTCAACTAAGATGGGAGGTTTAGGTTGGATATGAGGAGGAAGTTTTTCAGCCAGAGGGTGGTGAGGCACTGGAACAGGTTGCCCAAGGAGGCTGTGGATGCCCCATCCCTGCAGGCATTCAAGGCCAGGCTGGATGTGGCTCTGGGCAGCCTGGGCTGCTGCTTGGCGACCTGCACACAGCAGGGGGTTGGAGCTGGAAGAGCACTGTGGGCCTTTGCAACCCAGGCTATGATTCTATGATTCAATGGAGAAAGCAATTCTGACCTCCATATTTAGAGACTCAAATACAAGAGTGTTTCATCTACCAGAGTTGCTTTCCTCTCCATTTGAAGCTGGATTGCTCTGCATCTAAACTGCAAGTTTGAAGGGAGAAGAAACAAACCTTACCTGACTCTCTGGTATGGTTCTGAAGGGAGTCCTCGCTCCAAAACCTTTGATTGTATTTTGCAGTGAACAGAATTACTGGATGTCTCCCCAGCACTGACTAGAGAAGTTAGGTACACAATTCAGCACTAATTCCACAGCAACAGAAGGCAATCTTATTTTTGAAGGGAACTGAGCACTACTAAGATTTAGGTAGTTTTGTTGACCCATAGCAGTATTCTAGCTCAACAGCTCTGCTGCCAGGACGTAGATGTAGGCGAGATGTAGTGGAGGAGAGAGGAGAGGGAATGCTTTTCCATCAAATGCTGCAGCCCAACAATTCACATCCTGCACCACTCTTCCGTGATAAACCACTTCTCCACTAGGGCTGGCTTTTATGGAGGCAGCTCTAGCACTTCTGAAAAATCCCCCAATATATCCCATTTTGGTCCATAGTCAGCAGAAGCACAATGGAATCTGAAAGCATTTATGGCATGCACAAGTGCAAGGAGGCGGGACAGTCCACCAGCTCTTCTCCAGAGCTCATGAAGCAAATGCAGTGATAGAAATTGCTGGCCTGAAAGATCTCATCAGAGAAAACATAAAGGTTGTGAGCTTCCTGTTGAAACTGAGCTGCAGTAAAGATGGAAAGGCAAAACGTACGGGGAAAGGAAAACACCGGTGGAACTTGGGCTCCTATCTGGGTGGAACTCCTCTCTAGGCAACTTTTCCTGTGGTTTCATTCAAAGTTTCATAGGGTTTTATAATGATAGCACCTAACTCAACACATCAAGCACCCATTCATTAGGGGCTCAGTGCTGGTGTTCTTCAAACACAGAATCATAGAATCATAGAATCATAGAATCATAGAATCATAGAATCATAGAATCACAAGGTTGGAAACTACCTGCAAGATCATCCAGTCCAACCGCCCTCCCATCACCACTGCTACCACAAGCACTAAACCAGATCTCGCAGCTCCTCATCCAGCCTCTTTATCACTGCCATGGACAGCAATTCCACCACCTCCCTGGGCAGCCATTGCAGTGCCTAACAGCAACAGGTTAGCAGCTGAATGTGGCTGTTTGCTGCAATGCTTCCTGAGCCTCGGGAGTATAAGAAAGTATTGGTTAAGACTAAGGCTAAGAAAGTATACACACTGATATAAAATGAAGTTCTTTTATCAGAAAAGCTAAAAAGAGAGACAGATACGATGTCTGAGAAATGTGCCCTGTAGTGTGAGCATTCTGTCAATTAACTCAGAGTAGTGCGCACAAAATTGTTACATCTGTAAATTAAACAATGCCAGACCACAGGGGAGGTGCTGGGATTTGTCTGTTCACCTTATTAAATCCACAGTTTTAGGTTTTAGGCTGGACAAACTAGCAAGGCCCAAAGCCATTCCAAGGAACAAGGCAGCTCAAACAGGCCCAGGATCATTCCCAATAAGCAGGAAGAACACCAGTTTCAAAGACAACCTGAATTTAATTCTGGGAACGCAGACAGATTGTGCCCCTTGGTTGTGTGTGGGTTCTGCTCTCATCCTGGGTGAAGCATTTAACTGAGAAATGGTGGAATCTCCAGGTACAGCCATCAGACGAGACGTTACTGTTTGTTTTAAAGGACGGTCAGTGCTCAAATGCTGCTTAGAATTCTGATGAAGAAAATTCTTGGGAATGTTTCCTTGCCTGTATGACAGGGTCAGCTCACCTAGCGTTCCTTTGTGACCCTTCCTGGTGAAAACAAAGGGGAGGGCTCAGCTCAGGGATCGTGGAACCGAGCCAGACCTCCTGCTTTCCCACTCGTTGCATGATCCATCCTCACAGCTGAAACAAAATATGAATTTTCTACAGGCAAGCAAAAAGAAACCAGAGGCAGAATTAGAACTTTTTGCTGAGAATTAATTACTCCCCGGAGGCCCCATTGGCTGCATCCTCTTCCAACTTCTGTGGACACCTTAGATTACACTGTGTGGATATTTCATGCTGGTTCAGATGGCATTTCATTTATTGTGAAACCCTGAACCTTGCATCACATGGGGTAGGGTTACATCAACAATTCAGTTATGAAATGGGTGAAAGAAAATCAATGATTAAAAACAGAAGAGTTGACTGATCCCAAACCCAGAGCATTATTCATGTGTCGTTCAACAATAGCAAGCTGTACACAGTGTATTATCTTTCTGCACTTCACATCGATCTGAATTATCTGTTTACAGCTGAAGCACAATCAAACATTACCATCTTGACAGGCCCAATTCTGGAGGCTCACATTTTAGAATTATTTGGTGAAACTTCCTCTCAATTTAAGAAAGTAGACTTTAAATTAGACAGATAGAAGAATAAAGTTTGAACAATTCCCAGATCTGAAATGGAAGGCACTGATTTCAGAAGCACTGTAAAAACAAGGCAAGGCAGCAAAACCACATGAGGTGAGAAGGGAAAGATGGTAATGAGAGATGAAAAGGTTAATTCAACATGCCAGCGTGAAGCATATTGTCGTTGTTTCTGTGCAAGGTGTGATAAGACAGACACTAATACACTGCAAGTGGGAAGGAAATGGCACCAAAGGTGCTAACATAAAATGAAAACTTCTGTCAGGAAGAGAAGCCTGAATAGCACTGCCTGTAGCGTGGAATTTGATGTAATGCAAACCTGCTTGGATTTAATATGCTGGGTATCTTCAGACCTCAGTTTAATAGTGGTGTGAACAGCCCTAAACCTCTAATTTTCAGAGTTTCAAATCCGTGTTCATGTCCTGTTACGCTGGGTATTGCACAAATAGTCACGAGGGGACTCTTGTCAGAAATCTTTCAACAATTCATTGAGAACAGTTTTCAGCAGTAAGCTCCTCTGAGGTGGATCCATCAATATTCCTTTGCATTTTGGCCCCATTTTTCATTTATTCACAGTTGCTCTGTGCCACCGGACCGTGGAAAGAAGTTATACATTTTTCAGAACTGACTTTTGAGAACACCTGAAGACAGGAATTTTTCAGTCTTTGCCTCCTTATCATATGGTTAAGCACAATTTTGGTGCATTCTTTCTTCCTTTTAAAGACAGAACTAATTTCTCTCCACTTTGTGGGTAAGTTCTGAACCACGCATCCCTCCAAAAGGACAGCTGAAACTGGTCCTTCTTTTCTTTCTTCCTTATTTTTGATATTTGGAACAGCATCTGGAGAACTGACACAGGACAGAACAGGATCTGGTGCTGATGTCCACAAACGGAGATGTCTGGCACAGCATCACATGGAAGGGCAAACACTAGAGGACTCTTATCAACATAGGTATGAGGACAACAAAATCCACCCAGTGCTTCCCCTTGTAGAGTCCGTTTATTGCATTCTGCTCTTGTGCTGTCTGCTGCACTGAAGGAGAGAAAAGAGGGATTTGTTTTGAGGGGAGCCAGTTGTATTTATTTAAAGGCAGTCAAAAGAAAGGTTGCCACATGGGGAAACAAGAGATCAAAGTAATTTTGACTACCTGCAGGAAATGAGTTAAAGTGCATACTGATAAAATTTACCCAAATATTGCAAGCTAATGTTGACCCTGTGCTGCCTATGGGCATTGCCTGGTTCATAGAATCATGGAATCATGGAATCATAGAATCACAGAATGGCCTGTGCAAAGGCCCACAGTGCTCCTCCAGTTCCAACCCCCTGCTGTGTGCAGGTCGCCAACCAGCAGCCCAGGCTGCCCAGAGCCACATCCAGCCTGGCCTTGAATGCCTGCAGGGATGGGGCATCCACAGCCTCCTTGGGCAACCTGTTCCAGTGCCTCACCACCCTCTGCCTGAAAAACTTCCTCCTCATATCCAACCTAAACCTCTCCTGTCTCACTTTAAAACCATTCCCCCTTGTCCTATCACTGTTCACCCTCATAAACAGTCGTACCCCCAAATTTTGACAAATGTTTTACAAATGCTGTCTGCAGGACTGAAGTTCCAAGGTGTACCTGCCTCTATGTCACCTGCTTGTTTCTTCACAAAGACAGGAACACAGTAGCCCAGGGTTGTGATACTGGGATGTGACACATGGCTGTGTACCCAGAGTTCAAGGGTGCAATCAGGAACTGAACTACATGGCACTACAGATGAATTTGAAGGTCCTGCTCCAGCCCTGCTATTGCCACCCTGCCATTGCCTATGGTGGGCACTCATCAAGTTACTTCCTTCTTCTCTCTGCTTCTGATTTATCCCTTGGGACTGTGCATTAGTCAAGGTCTCACTGACCTCCTACTATTTCTGCTCAGGGTGTGGATGCAGTGCAGTGTCTATTGGCTTGTGCCTCTCAGCACCATTGTAATGCAACAACAATAGTTTTAAGGAGGAGGCCAATTTTCTTTCATATTAGGATTTGGCTAATTTTACTGTTACTAATTTCTAAATGGACCCACACAGGGAATTCAGAAATGCTGGGATTACTAGTTATTATTTAGAGAGGAAAATAGCTGAGACTGAGTCCCGTAAAAACCATAGTGAAAACTGTAAGTGGAAAATTATGGAGATGCTTCTCTTGGATGGAAAAGAACGGGATCCTTGTTCAGTCTGAAACATGTTTAATGGAGAAAGAGGACAGAAAGATTGAGAAATAAAGACACAACAGAGACAAATGATGGTAACAAATTCTGATCAGGTGAATGAGGAGGACAAAACTTCTACAACAAGCTGAGGTGGCACCAAGAGGATTGTTCAAAACGACCCTGTTAAGAGCAGCCATCAGCACAGTTGCCTGCTGATGCATCCCACTGCTAAGGCAACTTCCCCAGCTCTTATCTTCTTGTGAAAGATATTGCTTGGCTGAGTGAGTCCAAGGGACAGCACCCGAAGCTTCACCTCAAGACCCTCTGTTGCTTTGGGTCTCTTTTATCAAATTTACAAACTCATTTTCGGGTCTCTTTTTCAGCCTTCAGACTACATTCTGTGGGGGAAAGAAGCCACAGCTCAGTTATGCTTTGCTAATAGAGTTGCCCATCTGATTACGTTTCAAGGACCACTTTGTAGTGAAAAACAAGAAAGGAAAGAAAAGGTCTCAGCAAAGCTAGGCATTGCTGCTGCACTTCTAGATGGGGCATGATCCATATTTCTTTGCTTTTTAATGTTCTGTATGCTGGAAAAAATATTACCTCACTCTTAAGAGGCTGGTTCAGATTATTCTGTAGTAGACCATGCTTAAAAACAACAGCAGCAACTGTGAGTACTTTCTGCACTCAATTACACTGAAAAATCAGAGATGAACCTAGCCTGGGAAAAAGAACCAAACCAGCCCTGTGGTGAGGGCCCTGGGGAGCACTGCTTCAGTTCCTTGCCTTGCCACAGCCTTCCTCTTGGCTGTTTGGCAACTGATTAAATTCTTCTGTGCCTCATGCCCCCAGATTAGGCTATGGATGTCAACAAAGCTTTCTTCTTGTCTGTACCCATCAAATCACTAGCACATACACGGAACATCCCTCCCCAGAAGCATTTTCTATTCAGCCTGCATTGCAAACTTGTTTGTTTGTTTGTTTGTTTGTTTGTTTGTTTGTTTGTTTGTTTGTTTGTTTGTTTGTAGACCCTGTTTCCTTATTAGGAGAGAATTTCTGTATTCTTTCAGAAGGGAAAATTCTAGGCCATCATTTATTTAAAAAACCCTGACCACAACAATATAACACACAATCCATGAGATAAGTAACGAGCCATGATTAAGATGCTTTCTTTACTCATTGTTTCTGTGATCCTGACTTGTGGTTACTTGAGTGTGTAGAGTTGACAGGATAATATTAATTTGTTTTTGCCTGTAATGGAATATATTTAAATATCCATCCGTCTATCACATGTACTTGTAACCCTAACATTAGAAACAAGGTTTATTTATTGGCCTCCTACTAAACATATTAGAATCTCTGTCCATCATGTGTCCTTAATTGGATTTGATAACCTTAACATTAGAAGCAGAATTTATTTCAGCTAAATATAACCACTTAAAAGTTTTAGATTTTGTCCATCTCCCAGACCTTGACTAGACTCAATAATGAAAGAGAGGAGCTCTGGATGGAGAACGCATCTAATCTGAATAAGGTCAGATGCTGTTTGCAAGTGTCTGCTGATGTGACAGTGGGTCACAGAATCACAGAATGACTTCGGTTGGAAGGGACCTTAAGGATCATGAAGCTCCAACCCTCCACCACAGGCAGGGCCACCAACCTCCACATTTCAGAGCAGCCCAGGCTGCCCAGGGCTCCATCCAACCTGGCCTTGAACACCTCCAGGGATGGACGGGGCATCCACAGCCTCTCTGGGCAGCTGTTCCAGCACCTCACCACTCTCAGAGCAAAGAACTTCCCTCTGACATCCAACCTCAATCTTCCCTCCTTCAACTTCAAACCATTTCCCCTTGTCCTGCTGTTATCTATCCTTTCAAAGAGTTGACTCCCCTCCTGTTTATAGGCTCCCTTTAGGTACCATGTTCAAACTGGATCCCGTCCTGAGATACTTATTCTATGCAAAAGAAAAAAGCTATAGCAAAGAGCAAATTGGAATGTAAGCATCTCATATATTGAGTTAAGCTTTTAAACTTGAGTATATTCTCTTTGTTTCCCCTACTTCCAGAATCAGAAACTCCTCAGGACACACAGCAGCACTGAATCCTGCTAGCTATTTAAAATGACAAATATTTTAGCTGTGTGACCTTGTCATTATTTTCCCAAAGGTGTTCAATGACCCATTTCTTCCTGTAGAAACATGATCAGGACTAATGATGTCATCCGTACATGAATGATCCCAGTATGAGTGAGAATGTCATTGCAGTGACCTGAACAACAGGAGAAACAAAAGTTGCTGCTTTGTTGCCACAGAAAATGGTGTGTACCTATAAGGCTCTGCCAGTAGGCAATAGTATGTTCTCCCAGGCATTCTCCAAGTACAACACAGCAATTGTTCCCAGAAACTGAAAAGAAAGATCGGAGCAGTGGGGTGAGTAAAAGTATTGCAAAAGAACCCACAGTGCCACAAAAATAAAACTAATACTTAAACCCTCACATTTACTCTCCACAGTTTTCACTTACCCCAAAATCTACAATGTTCTTTTATGTTACTTATTATTGGTTAATGATGTTTCAGGCTCAGTTCAAGAATATGGTTCTTCTTATCAGGCAGAGAAGAACATACTGACAAGGTGGGGAGACAAAATGAGATGGAGGGGAAAGTGGAGGAAGTTGACTCTGTTTACGAGGGTGGATAGTGATAGGACAAGGGGGAATGGTTTTAAACTGAGACGGGGGGAGTTAGGTTAGATATTAGGAGGAAGTTTTTCATCCAGAGGATGGTGAGGCACTGGAACAGGTTGCCCAAGGAGGCTGTGGATGCCCCATCCCTGCAGGCATTCAAGGCCAGGCTGGATGTGGCTCTGGGCAGCCTGGGCTGCTGGTTGGCGACCTGCACACAGCAGGCGGTTGGAACTGGGTGAGCACTGTGGGCCTTTGCAACCCAGGCCATTCTGTGATTCCTTGATTCCATGACTCCATCCCAGACAGACCCAGTAAAACATAGTCAGGCACCATCCATGTGAAACATTATCCCATCTCCATTCAGCTGGAGGTGACCTGACCTTTACAGATCATAAGATCCCGGCTAATCAGTTTAAATTAGGCACCCTAATTTACTCCTCTCTGAGGAGGCAACTGAATGGTCCGTTGAGTCTCTGACAAAGGATAACACTCAGATTGGATGGGGAAGTTGCTCTTTGTAAACCGCAGACCAATGGTAGCTTTGGATTAGATGGACAAAGGGATTAAATATTGATGGCTATGATAATGAAGACTGTGAACTAGATCCACCAAATAAGAGAAGACTTGTGCAATAAAGGAAGGAATTATCTTGCTAACATACATTAACAGGCTACATTTACTCAGCCTTTATGGTTGACTGAGCCCCTGTATTAGTCTGTAACTCACTTTGCTTTGCCAGCTCTGCTTTGAGATTGGCAAAACATTAATAATAAAAAACAGAAGAATGATTTTATCTTAAATTGTGGCACTCATCTGCTAAATTAATGTATGCCTAAGCCCCATGGTTTACAAAGCCCACTGATGCCAATGGAAAGATTCCCATTGACCTCAGGAAGCTGTGAATCATTCCCAAGTGAAGATGGATCTCCAGTTCCATTGGCTGTTCTAATCTCCATGCAGAGTAGTCTTGCACCAGAGTTCATATTAGCTATCGGGTTTGCTGGGTGATAAAGCTATTTGCTGCTGATAGGGCAAAGCAAAACCTCATTGTACTCTGAAATGGGGGTGGGAGGAGTATATCTAAACCCATTAGACATCTATATCTAAGCTAATTGCCCTCTATTCATTTGGTATTCAACGAAGAGAATCGGCATTTCATCTGCAACTCATCACTCCAAAATGGACATCTAAAATAGGTCAGATGACTCACACTCTAAATGTCTTTTTCTTCCAACTGACAATAAAGGGAGCCTGGGATAATTTTCTCAGATTTAGACACTCGCATGTGGTCTGAAGAATTTCACTCCAAACGTCTTCATTGACAAGCTTCAAAAATGTGTTTTCGTCTCTAAATCAGATGGCTAAGTCAACATAAGATCTTAGTGGAGACAGGCCCAAGTAGTTTTCATCCTTGCTTAATCTCAGTCAATTTTGGGTTGCCTTGAATGAACTACATGGCTTTGCTTTCCATAATGGCTTAAAAAAGTATGTCAGGTTTCCTCATTGACAAAATAGCATTCAATGTACCTCGTTCGGGGTTTCAGGTTCTGGATGATGAGCCCCAAATGGCCTCAGGTGTACTCAAAAGATAATAATATTAAATGGCCAAGACGCTTTAAATTCTTGCCACTATTTTGCTCTCAGAAGGTTCTCATCCCACTGGCAAATAGCATAGAATGAAATCTGGTATCAACTTAAAACCTAAATATACACAAATAGTCTGGACTCCCATTATATTTACTGGAGAACTAGTCAGTAGAAAGTGGGAAACAATTCAGCTAAGTGCAAGTACCTACTTCATGTAGCTTGGACTTACCTTAGGCTCTATTAGGTGCAGAAAATCCCTCTCTAGAACAGCAATTTAATGAGCAGCTCCACGTAGACAATATTTAAAGAAGATACTCTGAAACTGCAGCTGAATTCCACCCACAATATTGGAAACTATCCATTCCACTGATCATCCTTACCTGGAGCGTATCTTGACAGGGTATCATCTCTTTGTGGTAAGATAACATCCTGGGCCAGCAGAACTGTAATGTCAGAAGATAGTGAATTAATACAAAGATAAAAAGAAGAAAAATAAGCTTTGAAGTAACAATTTCATTTTGTAGTGAATTTTCTTATCCATGTGAACACATATATTGTAGACACATATTTTAAAAGCTACAATTTTCTTTGGGTAGGAAGGTTTTTATTCATGTGGGGACTTTTTCATATTGAGAATAAAAATACAGTCTGAAACTCTGCATTTGTCATGAAACAGAAATGCTCAGTTTCAGGCTCAAGTAAACTCAAGCTATCCCTGCAAAGATGAAGCATACATTATCTTTAACTTAACCAGGAGATTGGATAAGATGGTCTCCAGAGGTCTCTTCCAAACCAACCATTCTGTGATTCTGTGAATGCTATAAACTGATCCCACAAGGAGACATGCAAGTGCCAGTCTTTGTTGTATCAGTCTGATTCCATTCCATCAGAAGCTTCTTGGATGAATCCAGATACATTAACAGAAAGATTCTAAAAAATTACCCAAAACATATAATGGAGTCCTCGTGTAAAGTTCTGCTCAGGAACGCAGCTTCTTACTTGGTACTTGTCTTCAAAATCCTCCTGATGGTCAGCAGCTAATAAAAACAAGAATAACAATGGCCATTTCAATAATAGCTGTAAATCTCAAAGCACTATGTGAACTGAACAGACTCCTCTGAGATGTGCAGACTTGTACCTTCCATTAGAGAAACGCAGCTCTTTCTGGGGTAGGAACAGAACTTTTGTGCTCAGCAATTCTCTAAAGAACTACAGCTAAGGCATGAAGGTAGGCTGCTGAAAAGTGAGCCCAGTTTGGATGTTCAGGTAAGCTGAAAATGAATTTTTCTCTCAGAGTGTTGCCTAAAAACTATACTTAAACTTTGAAAGAGTTCTTTCTATTTTAATGAGAGGCAGTAAGCAGAATTTTGCTCTTTTGCACTATGAAATGGCATTGGTTCTGAAGAGCAGTACTGCAGTATCAGGCAAGAGAACTGGTGGAAGGAGATAGCATGGGTTGTGGGATGTTCTGTGTCAGTACACAGCATTAACTCCCATTTGTATTTCCACTGAGTTTGGGACAACAGAACTGTATTCCAGTTTCTCTGTTTAGGTAGGAAAGTCCTTGGTGCTTTCATTTCTCTGCCTCTGACATGAGATCTCTCCTTTGTAACATCTCTGATGAGAAGCCTGCCTAAAGGATGGGCATTTTGCTTTGTTTCTGACTGAACAACAGTGATTGCAGGAGAAGCGTGTCAGTGTGAACTTTGCTGCTGCTGGCAGACGTGCTAAAATGCAGGCACAGCAAATGACCCCGTGGAAAAAAAACAAAAACAAAAACAAGTGTTGTTTTTGTCTGCCAGGGGAAGAATAAAGTGTCTTCCTATGGCATTCTGCCATGGTCTCTGGGGATGCGACACAAGGTGGTGCTTTGGGATAATTCAGGGCCCTAGAAGTTTCTTCTTAGCACCTTCTTGAAAAGCTCCTTCAGTTCAGCACTACATGAAATGTATTTTTTAAAACAGTGCTTGCTTGTGGGTTCTGATCTGTGCTTAATTACAATGTATCCTTTGCAAATATAATGTATTTTGACTGATAAATCACTTCAGTAATCATTCTACTCAATTAAGAAGTTCACACTTCCTGTTGTTTTACAGTTGGTGAAAGCCTCAGTAACTTCTGACATGCTGTATAACTGACACTTACACAAAGCAAAGTGATATTTTGTCTTTCCATTTATGAGATTTGCTTGAAGACAGACATGGAACTCTGCAACATCCAGAGGGAGAGCAATACTGGAGAGAATTTATGAATCACATAAAAAGTCCTTCCTGCACTTTTCCATTATTGTAAGTATAACCTAAGCCAGAAGAAAAACAAGAAGAAATAGGCTGTGAGGGACCTGACATGTTTAGCTGGGGAAAAGGCTGCAAACTCAGAAAGCTTTGGTTTTTAATGACACGTGAGCTAAGTTTGCAGATGGAAGCTCCTCAGGAAATTATGGAGGTTGTCTTTTAATGCAGACATTTAAAGGTCAGCTGTATCACATACTAAGGGTGAATAGTTCTTTTTTAATGCATAAACCCAACATTTACATGAAGACTTATAGAAGGGTAGATAGGTGAGGTAATTAATACAAAATTCTAAGCATGGGCAAAAGAGGAGAAAAGAAGGTGGATGCTGTTCTGACTGGCTTGGTTTTAATTTATTTTGTAGCAATTGTGATTCTGGATGACTTCACTGATGGTTGAGATCTTCATCTGATTTACTGAGGAAATGACTCTTCTCTGATCACTCTTTTTGTTTGTTTCCCCGTTCTACTCTCTGTACTAGGAAATCACCCCTGGTGGATGCCATCTTTTAAAATGTGCCAGGGAATTGCTTAGGATTTTTTTACTTTGCCTGGATCCAAGCCAGGCCAGCACCTTGCTGACTATTTACGTGATAGATGGACTGAGTTCTGCTGTCTGGGCTGTTTTCTGGTACAACTAAATCTGTCGGCATGGCCTGGCAGAGAAGGATGGATGGATGGACAGCTGAGAACTGGTCACTCCATTTTGGAAGGTAAGAGAATTTCACAATATGGAAACAACCAGCTCAGATCATGCCAAAAGGCCTCCAGTTAGCAAAAAAAGCCCTGGTACTGTTTAATTTACTAACAGAGTTACTGGATAAGCATAACTGTATGATCAAATAGCAGTTCAAAGAGCCCAGCTTCAGAGAGTGGAAGATCAGGCTGCCCGGGGAAGTGGTGGAGTCATCATCCCTAGAGGTGTTCAAGAACCATGTAGATGTGGTGATAAAGGACATGGTTTAGTGGGGACATATTGGTGGTAGGTGGACGGTTGGACTGGATGACCTGAGAGGTCTTCTCCAACCTTGGTGATTCTGTGATTCTATGACTCTATGAATAAACCTATGGGAAGGGTAGGTTGATGTTACCAATAAAACAGACCTGGCAGCTGCTTTGACCATGCAGTAATGTAACAATGAAATGGATTTAGTCTATACCACTTAAACTCACTTTTTTCACCCTGAAAAAAAGAGGTGACTAAGTCTAAAGTGCCCACTGAGAACAATTCCAGAGTGAGGTGACTCCTGAGCTTTGCCCTGGAACTGTTTGGAAAAGCTTTAGTTGCAACATGCAAAAAAACATGTCAAGAAGCAGCTGAACAATTAATACCCAGTCAAAAGCAAAAACATTTTCCCTTCTGGGTGAGGTGGCTTAACAATCAAGCTCTTCAGGTCAATTTTCAATTCTAATGTCTGTAAATAATCTTTTCCATAAACAAACCATATGTAGCATACTTGTGGAGGCTGTGGATGCCCCATCCCTGGAGGCATTCAAGGCCAGGCTGGATGTGGCTCTGGGCAGCCTGGTCTGCTGGTTGGTGACCTGCACATAGCAGGGGGTTGGAACTGGATGAGCACTGTGCTCCTTTGCAACCCAGGCCATTCTATAGTTCCATGATTCTATGAAATCTCATTGTGATTATTTGAGGAAACACTGCAGTGGATTAGTTCAAAACAAATTGATGCATAACTTGGAACTGTCCCTCTCAATGGTTTCTCACTATTCAACAGGTATAAGATCCAAGCATCAAAAAGACAAGTGGTTACAATGGATTTCTTGCACTTTAGTCTCTCTTTCAAATCTGGGATTTGTACATTTTGAAAGACACCTCTGAATGGGAACAACAAATGTGTGGGATATTATTTGCAGTGATCATTACAACTGATGTGAAGTATGCTTCCTAAATTTCTATCTAAAAATCAGATCTGCCTCCTTTTCCACAACGGATGCTCTGAACTAGCTGAACAGGGACAGGGCTGTTTGTGAGCTCTCATGTATTTCTGATTCTCACTGCAGAGCCTTTATCTGAGCTCGAGCACAACCACGGAGCATACGGCCCCACAGAGAGGGCCATAGAGCCCTCTTGTGGATGTTCAGATGGTTTTGGCATGAGGAACCTTCATGTTACACTCTTCTCTCCAGCCTTACATAAGAAATTTGTTATGAAATTACTTAATCACGTTATTATAAGGGACTGAAAGTTGATTGGCAGCGCCTGAAGGCTCATCAGAACAACTGACAGCAATCTGTTCAAAACAAATATAGAATCATAGAATCATAGAATGGCCTGGGTTGCAAAGGCCCACAGTGCTCACCCAGTTCCAACCCCCTGCTGTGTGCAGGTCGCCAACCAGCAGCCCAGGCTGCCCAGAGCCACATCCAGCATGGCCCTGAATGCCTGCAGGAATGCCTCACAGGGCATGCCGTTGCAGTGTCTCACAGCACAAAACCTCTTCCCAACACCAAGTCTCAACCTGTCCCCCTCCAATCCAAAACCATTTCCCCTCATCCCGTCGCTAAATCCCTGCTCGATGCTCTTGCACCCTTTTTACACCCCTCCAGGGACAAGTATGCTTACTATTACTATATTATTATTATTAAAAAGCTTTTAGACCCAGTCTCACGGGACGGGTACGTTACTGACGAGAAGAAAAAGATGGCCACGAGGCCTGAACGCGGCACTCCAACCGCCGCCCCGTGGCTGGGCACGAACCCAGTCGGCCTCAACCCCTCACAGGGGCGCAGCGCAACGGCGGGATCCCAACGCCTCCCTCTCCGTCCAATCAGAAGGCGGCAGCCGTGACCTTTCACTCCGGAAGTTGTTCCGCGCGCAGGCGTAGTGGCGGTGTGCGGGAGGGGGGGGAGCGGGCATTGCTTGCTGGCGTTGCAGGGTTAGCTGCACTCGGGCCGAGGATGGCGGTGTCGTTGGGGCAGGTGAAGCTGGAGGAGGTGGTTAACGGTAGGTGCTCCGCTGAGGAGCCGGCGGGGCTCGAGTCGCCTGCAGCGGCCGTTTTGTGTGCGCTGTTGCGGGTTGGGAGGGAGAGGCGGCCACGTCTTGGGCTGAGGGAGCGCCGTGCCTGGGTGCTGCTCTACGTGTTTCATTTTAAGGGGCTGGGTTGCTAAGAGTTTTTGGAGGATAACGTTAACGCGGTATTCTTTTCTGTCTTCAGAGTCGGAGGTTTTCGAAATTCTTCTCCCGGTCACTGTGTTTGTGCTGAGTGATGAGGAGTTCCTCCAGGCCCAGGAGCAGGTGGCGATGATTCCGGAGCTGAGGGAGGAGCAGCAGGAGGCTGCTGGGAGCTGCTGCGTGTCTGAAGGCTGCCTGAGGCCATCAGGTGGTAGTAAGGGTTTAAATATTTGGGAGGAACACAATGGGACCATAAATCAGAATGGCAGTATGGAGTGCTCTGAAGAAGGATGGATCCCTGAGAGCATGTGTAACAACTCAAAGTTATCTATAAGCAGTGGGATAAGCAAGGATGCACAGAGTCACAGTGCTGCTTTGCTGACGTCGCCATATCAAACAGAGCTGGCAAAGATGAGTGAAGTGAATGGCAGGAAAGCATGTAATGATAAGGATGCCATTCCGAAGATTCCACTCCTCTCTGCTACTGACAGTGAGGGTAGAGATGAGACCACCGACACCTGTGGCCAGTTGGTGTTACCAGAAGCATACAGAGATGAAGAACTTGCCTGTGTTCTGGGTGTTCTTTCTGATGAAAGCCAAGAGAAGCAATCACAAGTACATGAGGAGATGGGGACAGCCCTTGAAGTGGAAGGTAACTTGTTAATAAGAGTTGTCCAAGAGTTGAAGTAAATTTCAAGTTTGAAATTAGGTGGGAAAACATGGAGGAAGAATGCAAAATAGTTTATGATAGATTAATCATTCCAGCGTAGATTTAATTGATGTACAGCCGAATCATAGAATCCTAGAATGGCCTGGGTTGAAAAGGAGCAAAATGCTCATCTAGTTTCAGCTCCCCTGCTATGTGCAGGGTCACCAACCACCAGACCAGGCTGCCCAGAGCCACATCCAGCCTTTTCAGGAGTACACACAATGCTTTCACAGACTGTTGTGGTAATTACTGAAACTAAAAGGAATTGGTACCACTTCATTTTTCTGCAGTTTGTGAAAGGGGGAAAGAGATTTAAAAACAAAAACTTAGGGAACATATGGGGTTTTTGTTTTTTTTTGTTTTTCTTAGATACAAAAGAAAGCATAGGGAAGAGTACTTGCCCTTCTGACAAAGCAGATAGCAGAATGTCTCCTGAAGAATGTGTCATGTAGCACACTTCAATGCTTTGACAAGAATTCTGGCATAAACCTGTTCCGTGAAAACACAGTGTTGTTCTGTTAAATGCAGAGATTTGAGTGAAAAAGCATAATGGAAAGAAAGAGGCTCCAAGCAGAACTTTTCTTAAAACCATAGTAAATGTTATTGATAGAGAAGTGTGGGGGTGACTGGAGAGAGACGTTAGGAAAGAAGTGGAGATTAGACAACATTTTCATAGGGGAACAAAGAGCAAGGAAGTGCATATTAGGCTATTTTACATTATTACTACCAATTAATTATGAACTTTGGTTGTTCTAGGAAATGTCATGCAAAAAAAAAAAACTTTTTTCTTCTTTTATCTCCGTAGATGCCGATTCTTTGAAGAATGGAGATAATGAAGCTAACAGCAAAACAAATAAGGGAAGCAAATCTGAAGATGAAACTCTGAGTTCTGATTTGCAGCGTGGTTTGAAAGAAGAACCAGAACTGGATTTCGATCAATTTATTCATAGATGTTGTACTTCAGAAGAATTGCAAAAAGATGTAGGGAAACTGGAGATAAATGCTTCTATTTCTTCAGAATCAGCTACTCCTGAAGAGCATATTTATAAGTCATTAACACCTGTTTTTAAGAAAAGATGTCGGCAGCGACGTATCATTTCTCCTCATGAAAGCCCAAATGAAATTCAAGGCCAGCAAGAAGATTTAGCATGGCTAAGTAATAGCATGAGCATCAAACCTCTTCCAAAAGCATGTTGTTCTGCAAATAAGCATGATAAAATCAATTTCAATTGCAAATTTTGTAGTTCTGCATATAAAAGCTCTGCGCTTCTGAAGAGACACATTTATTCGGCTCATAAAAATAAAAAAATACATAAATGCAGCTTTTGTAAAAAAACCTTCTTCTTTTCTGTCAACCTGAAGAACCACCTTAAGCTTCATAAGATGAATAAGTTGCAAAAGGAAAGAAAAAATAAAATGAGTGCTAGAAGAGTTAGGCAAAGAACTGAAGAAAGAAAGTCGGAAAGAAAGAAAAAAGAAAGTAAATATGAGAAATACTTCATCAAAATTGAAAGGGATTTTACATCTCTGGGTGTTCCAGTTATTTTTTCCTGCAAACTTTGCTTTTTTGATTCATCAAACCCTAGGATTTTTATTCATCACATGAAGGCACATAAAGAGAGACCACCTTACCAGTGTCCTCAGTGTGATTACTCTTGCCCTACTTTATCTTATATGTTAAATCACATGTATTGGCATGCTGGGTATAAGCTGTACAAGTGCAAGTTCTGCACCTTTTTTTCACTGTATTTTGCCAGCATGGTTAGGCATAGCTACATGCACACGGGGCCGAAACCATATTCCTGTGAGTTCTGCCAATCAGCATTTACAAGCATCCGTGGATTAAAGAGGCACAGAAGATTACACGTTAGTGAAGAAACATGCAAAGTCAACTTTGGAAGTGGAAGAAAGAAAACTCGGAGACCTTCAAAGAATTACACATGTGATGAATGTAACGTACTTTTTTACACTAGAGGTCATCTCAATTTTCATAAGAAATGCCATGAACAGCTCAAGGTGAGTGCTAATGGCTATGTGAATCAGAGCAATGAATATCTTAAAAGCAAAGGATGCAAAATTGAAAGTGATTCCAAGGGCTGTGTTCCTGTACCTCTTTCTAATGAAGATGATAGTCTCACTGGGGGAGTGTGTAAAACTCTAGCTTCAGAAATAGACTTTGTGCAGGCAGGTGATGTGCAGGACAGTAAGAAAATGTGCTCTGGAAGGGCATTTACCAAAAACAGCCACTTGAAGAACATTTCACCTATTTTTGGGAGTACATCAGAAGTTCAGGATTCATACAGAGAGAACACTGTAGTTTACAAAGAAGACCCTTTCTTCAGTCCCGAAACCTCTCATTCGCAAATTGAAGACACTAAAAACAATGCTGCATATTATAAGTCCAGGGACGTGTGGCCTTCCAGTTTGTCTGTGTTCAAACTGTACAAGTGTAAACACTGTGATTATGCTACCGCTGTTCATAGCAACTTTAAGCAGCACCTTAAAATACATACTGATAAGGGACAGTTTGTGTGTCAGGAATGCAATAAGACTTTTAAAACTTCAAACCGTTTGCAGAGACACAGGCTGCTTCATGCAAATGATCAATATGAATTCAGCCATTACTTCTATGCAGATAGCCACCTGGAGAATCTTGGATTGCATCATGAAATGCAGTTAGGCACGTGTCCAGAAAGGGATTTTGGCTCCTCACAGGGTTTCAGTGGAGTCTGTTCAATGCTTGCTTCAGAAATGTATGGAGAACAGACAGATACCAAGAGGGACAAAGATGATTTGCTAGCACAGAGTGAGCCGCGATTCTATCAGTGTGCAGAGTGTGAGTACTCTACTTACATTTTAAGCAACCTCAGACTACACGTAAGGACTCACACAGGTGAGAAACCTTACAGCTGCAGTGTTTGCCAAAAGGAGTTTCGTACCTCCAGTCACTTGAAACGGCACCAAGTCCTGCATTGCAATACGGAGCATCTCAAGTGCAGGAAGTGTGACTATTCAACAAACAAATGGCTGTCCTTAAAACAGCATCTGGCTTCACATGCTGTGAACGAAAGCTCAACTACTGGCTCTCTTTGTGAACAAAAGCCACTACCTGTCAAAATATACACATGTGAAGAGTGTGGCTATATCACAGTTCACAATGGAAACTTCAAGCAGCACCTGAGGATTCACACAGGGGAGAAGCCATTCAAGTGTGGGCAGTGTGGTGTTGCTTTCCGCACGTCCAGCCACCTGAAGCGCCACTTGCTGACTCATGTAAAGTTTCACTGCAGAAAGTGTGATTTTTCTGCAGTAGATAAACGTGCTTTCCAAAAGCATGTAAAAACGCATAAAAAGAAAAAAAACAAAAGTGCAGCAAGTGTAATGTGATGTCCACTAAGAAGCTTTTAGAAAATCATAAGTAGCAATATAACTTTTAGAATGTAAGCTTGGGATTTGCAAGCTAATGCTCAGTTCTAGAGAGCTTTGCATGTCCCAGGTTTATTTATTTCTGTACATTTCCTTGCTGTACCTAGAAATGTGGCTGTTAGTGGACAAAGCCAGTGTTGTGGTCAAGAGTGCAATTCAGAATTCTGCTTTGCTCCAGGTTCTGCTGTGAACTTATTTCTACTGAAGGCTGAGCTCAAGACGTGGGAAGCACCTCTTCATACCTGCATAGCTGAAAAGCTATTCTGTAAGGTCAGAATTATGAATTGGCCTGTGTTCATCAGCATAAACAGTTTTATGCCACTTACTGTCATGTTTAAAAACAAGTCTAACTGCAGGAATGTTTAAAAGGAGGGATGAAATTTCACACTATATCGTATGGTAATCATTTTTCAGTTAAGAATTGTTAGTATGATTTGAAGCTTACTCCTATCTGCTCTAAGTTGTGTTCCTTGCTGCCAGGTTCTCCTGTAATACTTAACAAGAGAACAAGTTTGTATCTCACAAAATAGTAATGTCATCACTGGTTAAGTATGCTGCGAAAGTATTTTCTGTATATGTATAAATGTAAAATGTTTTTTAGGTAGTTCATTATGTCTGTAGTTGCTCCTGATAATTCTTTGAGTAGTTTCACAGGAATAGTAATGTTTCCCTTAATGAAATATTTTATGGTACTGAAAATCCTTAAGTTAATCTTCACAAACTTCGTGGAGATGTCTAATGTTACTCTAGTGTGAAATGCCTTGTCTTTTCTCAGGCTAGTAATTACTGTACTCTATGCTTCTTAAAATACATTATGTCATTCTGTTTGAAGATCCTTTCTGCTGATATAAGTATTTGCTGACAATTTAAATTGAAAACAGTATCATAGAATCCTTAAAGTTGATAAGACCTGTAAGATTGTCTGGTCTGGTCTTTGAACAGTCAAACATAGATCGTTAAAAAGGTTGCTGTGCATCTAGAATACATCTAAGGGACCACTTGTGGCAAACTGCAGTTGTATCGCATGGTAAAGATTCAAACTTCAACTTCATATCAAAGTTGAGACAAATTTTTGCATGTTTTACAGTGATGTTGTGCTTGAAAATCTGGACAGCAGTGAATGTATGTTCAGTGGTATTTATGAAAGCACTATTACCCTTTTGTGTGAGAAAAGATAACTGCAAAGGAGTGGTGGTCATTTTTCCTAATGGTAAAGTCCATCCCATGAAACAGCAGAATAAGCCTGTAGCTTAATTTAGAGAATTTAAACATGAAATTGCCATTGCTTTTATTATTGCTCTCAAACTTAAGATTTTCTTTATAAGCACAGATGATCTTTTGCAGTGACTTTCTGGTAGTGCAGGAAAACAATTTTCCAGGGGTGGATGGAAGCGCATGGATTGGTGTTCTGACTATAAGCTGGGGGCACACTTTGGAAGTGAGAGAACAATGAAGAGCTTAAAATGACTGAGCCAACCAGCTGACACAGTTGTGAGAAACAATATCCTAATAGGGATAAATGGAGGTGTTCCTGGGAAGCAGGAACACTGTTGTACAGATTTGGAGTTTTTTTTTACCTTGGTTCTGCTCAGGTGAAGAAAGCATCGCAAGAACAGATGTGAAGGACAAACAGAAGCATTGAAGAGAATTGGAAGCCCACATATATGTAAGGCTAGGAAAGCTAAATCTGGAGGAAAGTAACATTTTATAAGTATGTTGTACATACACGAAGGATCCAAATTTTTTAGAGTTTGTGAAGAGCAGTTTTGTTCAGTTGCAGATGGGGGCAAGAAGATATTTGCAGGTGGAACTTAAGGTTGTCAAACATCATTATTGTAGGTGGTTGCTGCTAATAAGTAACATCTGTTGTAAGTCTTGGGGCAGAAATGATTCTGTATCTTCCACCTCAGAGACGTTTGGGGGCATTTTTAAAATAAAAACATCTTCTGCTTTGTTTTGTGCGTGTGTTTGTTTTAGGGGGGAACAGCTGAAATGGCTGTATTCTCATGGTTGCAGCGTTTTAACAGAAAGCAGAGCCTGTCTTAAATCACACGATGAATTCTGTAATCAAAGCATTTATTATTTTGTTGCGAACACAACTGTGTGATGCGATGGGCAATCATAGACTGGGACAAGCAGGAGTTTGATCTGAATACTGCCCACAGAATCACAGAATCACAGAATCACAGAATGACCTGGGTTGGAGGGGACCTCAAGGATCATGTAGTTCCAACCCCCCTGCCTAGCAGGGCCACCAAACATACACCTTTACTAGATCAGGTTGCCCAGAGCCTCGTCCAACCTGGTCTTGAACACCTCCAAGGACGGGGCATCCACAACATCCCTGGGCAGCCTGTTCCAGGACCTAACCACCCTCCTAGTAAAAAACTTCCCCCTAACATCCAACCTAAATCTTCCCTCTTTTAACTTAAAACCATTTCCCCGTGTCCTGCTATTATCAGCCCTTATGAAGAGTTTACTCCCCTCCTGGGAGTAAGTTCCCTTCAGATATTGAAAGGCTGCAATGAGGTCGCCCCGCAACCTTCTCTTCTCCAGGCTGAACAAACCCAACTCCCTGAGCCTGTCCTCATAGGGGAGGTGCTCCAGCCCCCTGATCATCTTCGTGGCCCTCCTCTGGACCCTTTCCAAAATCTCCATGTCTTTTTTGTACTGAGGGCTCCACACCTGAACACAGTACTCCAGATGGGGCCTCACAAGAGCAGAGTAGAGAGGGACAATCACCTCCCTATCCCTGCTGACCACCCCTCTCCTGATGGAGCCCAGGATCCCATTTGCTTTCCGGGCTGCCAGAGCGCACTGCTGGCTCATGTTAAGTTTCTCATCTATCAGGACCCCTAGGTCTTTCTCTGCCGAGCTGCTCTCAAGGACAACTCCCCCCAGCCTGTACAGGTGCCTGGGGTTCTTCCGGCCCAAGTGCAAAACCTTGCACTTTGCCTTATTGAACCTCATTAGGTTCACCCGAGCCCAGCTTTCAAGCCTGTCAAGGTCCCTCTGAATGGCCTCCATTCCCTCCACCGTATCGACCGCACCACTCAGCTTGGTGTCATCAGCAAACTTGCTGAGGGTGCACTCCATTCCCTCATCGATGTCATTAATAAAGATGTTAAAGAGCACCGGTCCCAAGACAGACCCTTGAGGGACACCGCTCGTTACCGGCCTCCACCTGGACATAGAGCCATTGACCACCACCCTCTGTCTGCGGCCTTTCAACCAATTGCTTATCCATCTAGTTGTCCACCCGTCAAATCCACTTCCCTCCAGTTTGGAGATGAGGATGTGATGGGGGACCATGTCAAAGGCCTTGCTCAGGTCCAGGTAAATGACATCAGTTGCCTTCCCTTCATCCACCAATGCCGTCACTCCATCATAGAAGGCCACAAGATTAGTTAAGCATGACCTTCCCCTGGTGAAGCCATGCTGGCTATCAATCTAGCTCTCTGTTTGTCTCTTACTGCCCAATCTCGGGCTGTGATTCCCCAGGAAGCTAGGGTGCTACATCAGCATGTTTGAGCCCAAGGAGCCAGCAGTCAGCACTGAAGACACGCATAAATAGGATAAATAGTTGATGGGACGATGATCCGCCCGCGCTCAACCCGCCTCCTCAGGCACCTCACCTCAGGAGGCTGCGGCGCATGCGTAGGGCGCCCAACCTCTGCTCCATCGCGCATGCGCAGGGCGCCCAACCTCTGCTCCATCGCGCATGCGCAGGGCGCCCGACCTGCTCTATCGCTCACCGCGCATGCGCACGCACCGCTCTCCCTCCCCCTCGCGCCTTCACGGCTCTGCGCCTGCGCACAGTGCAAGCGGCGCTTGCGCGAGGGTGGGCCGGCCCCGCCACAGCGAGCGGCTTTCCTTTCGCATCGCCGCTTTTTCTCCGCAGAAAATCGATCCCCTTCGCCGCCAAGATGCCGCGGATTATGATCAAAGGCGGTGTGTGGCGGAACACCGAGGTAGGACTCGGTTCGCTCGGTTGGGGCCACGGCGGTTTGTGTGGGGAGGCGGAGGAAGGAGGGGGTGGCAGCTTGGCGGCAGTGCGCAGGCGTGGGCGGGGGGCGGTGGTGCGCATGCGCAGTAGGCAGAGCGGGGCACAGCCTGATGTTAACACACTTGGCTCGGCTCTTTCGCTGTCAGCAGAGCCCAGCGCTGCCCCTCCGCTGCAGCCGCCGTGAGGCCTCCCCTCAGCTCCTCCTCTGCTATGGAACAGACCCGGTTGCCTCAGCCACTCCTCACGTTCCTTGTGCTCTAGACCCTTCTTCTCAGCAGTAGCTGGGGGAAGTGTATGGGTTGCATTGCATCCGCAGATGTCCTTATCTCAGGCTGGAGCGGGCCTAAAAGTGCATAGGCAGAGTTGATGCTCTCTGGAGGTGGTTGGAGGAGGTGGGAATGTGACCTGAAAGCCCTTACTGGTGTGTAAATGAGGGCTCAGGGGAGACATTCAAAAGCCAGGCTGGATGTGGCGGTGGGCAGCCTGGTCTGCTGGTTGGCGACCCTGCACATAGCAGGGGGTTGGAATTGGATGAGCATTGTGCTCCTTTGCAACCCAGGCCATTCTAGGATTCTGTGACCTTGTCACGCTCTACAGCTGTTTGAAAGGCTGTGTAGCAAGGTGAGGCCTGGCCTCTTCTTCCAAGTGACAGTGAGAGGAGCAGGGGTAGTGGCCCTAAGTAGTGCCAGGAGAAGTTCAGGCTTGATAGTAAGAAAAATTTCTTCTCTGAAAGAGTGGTGAGGCATTGGAACAAGCTGCCCAGGAGGTGATAGGGTTACTTTCTGTGGAAATTTTCAAGAAATGTATAGATGTGATATGATATGTGATATAATTCTATGTGGCACTGAGGGATGTAGTTAGCGGGTATGGTGGAGGTGGGTTGACTGTTGAACTAGATGATCACAGACTCATAGAATGGCCTCGCTTGCAAAGGAGCACAATGCTCATCCAGTTTCAACCCCCTGCTATGTGCAGGGTCACCAGCCTGCAGACCAGGCTGCCCAGAGCCACATCCAGCCTGGCCTTAAATGCCTGCAGGGATGGGGCATCCACAGCCTCCTTGGACAAACTGTTCCAGTGCCTCACCACCCTCTGGCTGAAAAAATTCCTCATGATCTTCGAGATCTTTTCCAACTTTAATCATGTTATGATTCTGTAAATAATGAAGATGGCTGTGAGCTCATCATCTGCAGCCCGGAGTGTTTTATCCATAGGAATGTATGTTTTTCAGGAAAAAAAAAACCACCAACAACAAAACACAACTCCCTTGCTCTCATTTTTGCCATCATATGCTTTCAGAACTGCGGATGGTTGTGAGAAAGAGCAGTAACACATTTCAAGGATGTGAAAATTTGTTATTAGATGTTCACAGGAAAAGGAGATACTTGACACTGTAAAATTCAGAATTCTGCAACAGTATTCTGCAAACATCAAACGTGTACGTGGTTCCAGAAAGCAATGAGAAGAATGAGTGGAAGATAAATATATTATGTACTTTATGTGCTTTTAAGCACTTGAGGTGTATGGCAGCTTGTTAATTGTTTCTAAATTGGAGGTCAGCAGAGGATGATTACTCTCTTTTTGTGGTCATCTAGAATTGTTAAAAGAAACAGCAGTAGGTCAAATAGATCTTTGTTTCACTCCAGAGATGAAATAGCATTTTTAGTGGTATTTAATTAACATTATGGTTATATTTGCAGCATTAAAAATGCTCAGAGTGGAACAGGGTGGTGTCAAGTCCTTGGGAAGATGGCTGGTTATTTGCAAAAACACCCATCACTATTGTAAACAGTATGGCTTTTGCATTGCCATATAATGCAAGGGAAAATTCAGAAACCAAGGAAGGATTTAGAGATGTTTTGTAATGCTCTTCTTTAAATAGAAATAATATGAATTGTTTCCTGCAGGAGCTCAAACCAGAGCTCATCATCGTCTGGATTTAAAGCTGCTGTGTGCTTCTGTGCTCTGAGAGCTGTTTGTGCTAGACAGAGGATCTGTCCCTGATGAGTAGCATCTGCACCGTGCACCTGAACAGATTCTGAGCACAACTACAAGTGCTTATTAGGATTTAGAAGAGGAACATCTGTGATGTAGAAGGCTGTGCAAATAGCTCTGGTGCATTTGAAGTATCACTTTCTGACCCATGAGGTTATCAGAAATTGTGAACCTGCTTATTTGAGGGAAAAGGAGAGAGGGACTGATGGGTGTATTGAAAGACAGTTAATAAGATATGTAGCTTTTGATCAGATCTCAGTGCACATTTCGTTGCATGTGTGCAGCCAGGCTCCTATTCTGTTTTTTTCCCCTGTAACTCTGTGGACTTTGGGATCTGCTCTTCAGCATGTAACATTCTAAACACTGAGGTGATATGTTTCAAAGTAGACAAAGTTCATTGCTTTTGTGATATGTATGTAACACTATATTAAATTAACCCATGCCAAAAAAGGTAATGTTATGGTATTATTTAAAGAAGCCACCCAGAGGCATGTATTTTTATTTTATCATTACCAAACTGCCAAACACCTCTCTACCTCTTCCTGCCAAACACCTCTCTACCTCTTTACCTCTGTTATTCAAGGAAGATGTACAGAGCCTTTAAAAACTGCATAAGAGAGCACTGAAACAAATCATTCCAGAAGACTTGCAAAGTAGATCGCGGTAACCATCCCTCATCTTTTTCATACCTTGTCTTGTTACTGATTTTAGTGGTCTAGTGGAATGCAAATCCTCATGGTCTGGAAAGTAAAATGTGTAGAAGAAGGAGTGGTGCTGTGCTGTTCCAGTTGAGCAGCCCATTATGTGAAACCTGTTGCATTGTCTTCTTGAGCTCATATTTGCCATTTTGCCAGTTGTCATTCTTCATAACAACATACATTCTTTTTGTTCTAAGGATGAAATCCTGAAGGCAGCTGTGATGAAATATGGCAAAAACCAGTGGTCTCGTATTG